GCATTTGCTCCCTCCACTACCAAAAGCAATGAAATTTGCTGCTAATCCTGACACTCTACTAAAACTACTCTTTCAAAGGTATTGGTGTCCTAATTTAGACTCTGTAGGCTTTGACACTTCCACTGACCCCCTTCTTTACCTCTTTCCACCTATCACCCTACCCAGTAACCCTCAGATATTCAATCCACCCTCTCCCATGATAGGTTCCCCATCATCACTCATCAATGTTTATTCCACAAGCATTTTTTGAGCACCTATTATATGCCAGGTCAGTACACCCTGCACAGAATGCCTTACAAATTACTCTTGAATGCGTGGCTTAGTCTCAATATTTTTCACTTTGTAATAACTTCCCAACGGGTGCCCTGCCTCTAGTCTTACTCCCTCAGCAATCTGTCTTCCTTGCTCACAAGTGTGATCTTTCCAAACAGAAGTCTGATCATCACATTTCTCCTGGAGGAGAAAGTCTTCAATCCCCATCACAGCACCCACAGCACGGTAGCCAGCCCTCACCCTCTTCTTCTAATCTCTAGCCCATCATTCCCCTCTTCCCTTTGGAACTCAGAGAGTAATGACTCACAATCTCCCCAACACACCGCGAGCTTTCTTAATTTGGAGCTTTGCTCACACTGTCCTCTAACTAAAATGCCTTCCCCTGCTCGCTCTTCTAAGGGAAAGCTTACTCATTTTTCAAGTCCAGATTCCATGTCACCTCCTCAGTGAAGTCTTCTCCAAGGCCAAATCAAGCATGTCCTCTGTGGTCCCAGAGCGTTTGTCCCTATCAATCATAAGCGTGTCTCATAGCACACTAGACTTAGGTTTACATCATGAATTTGTGCAGGGCAAGGACTGCAGCTAAATCATTATTCTATACGAAGTCTAAGCACCTGGAAAACAAGTTCCTAGAGAACCTGAGAGTGAGACAGGAAGTTATATGCAGTGGTCTTGCACATGTTTCGTCAGAATTCTTTCACGACAAGTAAAAAAAATGGCTTTAATCAAAAAGGGAATTTTTGAAAAACAATTAAAAATTCTCTTCAAGTACGATTTCAGTCTAAAGATTCAAAAACTATCAAGACCAGATTTCGCAGCTCTGTTTTATACTCTGTTGGCTTCATTCTCTCCTTCTGTGTCAGAACAAAATGGTTGTCAATACCTCTAGCTTAGATTATCCCACCCTCAGGTTCATATCAGTGGAAAACAATGCTTTTTTGTGGTCATTTGAGCCAAAGACCCAAGATTTGTTCTGATTATGATTTAAGTCACATGTAGTATCCTGATTGGCTATTTGTAGGTCATGTGTTCATCCATGTTTGGACATTTGTAGGTCATATGTTCATCCATGATTGGCCAGTTGTAGGTCACATGTTCATCCCTGGGTGTGTGGGAAGAGTCTTTTCCACCAAAGCATGGACTAAGGATGGGAGGAGTAACTTCCACCAGGTAAATACTACTCAAGAGAATTTTTTGTGGTAATGAGACTTTTCACATTATAGAAGTGTGGTGGCTCTTGAGCACTTGAAATGTAATTAGTGTGACTGAAGAATTGCACTTTTAACTTTATTTAATCTTAATCAGATTTAAGCTTAAATAGCTACATATAACTTGTGGCCTCTGCTGAACTGTACAGCTCTGGAGAGAGAAGGTCTGTACTGTTCAGTGTGTGCTGCCATGGTTTCACAAGGAATACATACACCTGGCTTACTCTACACATGAAGGTCTCTAGAGTGGGCTGCATCAGCATGGCCTGGTTGGTTTTTTAAATATCCAGATTTTTAGGCTCACCCTGATCTCAGATACCGTGTCAATCGTAGTAGGGTCTAGGAATCTGTGTTTTGAAACTTCCTACATAATTAGGATGCACAACTAATTTGGGGGAATCAGTGATGTTTGGGTTGCGAGTTCATTTAAAGGACATGGAGGGCAGTTTGGATAGTGTCCTTGTGACCATATCATTATTCTGAGTCGTCCCAGAGCTCCCAAAGCTAAAGAACACAGGAACCTTCCTTCCTTTCTCCCTCCCCGCTTCCTTTCATTTTTTCCCTCTTTCTTCCTTCCTTCCATTAGCCACATCTTGAGTATCTCCTGGGTATTATCTCCAATGTTAGACACCTTACATCATTGACTCATGTGTTCATTCACTTATTCACCCATTTGTTCACTCATTCATCTTCTATGTATCAAGTGCTCATTCATTCATCCAATCATTTATTCTGGAATGAAAAAGATGAACACAAAAGACTGATTTCTTTCCCAACAGGAAAGTTACTAGTATTTACCAATACTGGAGGTATTTTTGAGCGAGACAGTATTGGTGCCTGGACCACTGACCTTATTATCCTGAGAATAGGGAACAAGAAAGATGAAGGGACTGATTAGGTGGGTGGGTGGAGTAGGGAAGAGTTTCAGGCAGAGGGTTGACCTGCTCAGATTTACATTTTTAGAAGATACCTCTGGGAATTATGGTGGGGGAAAAGCCAATTCCAAAGGTTCCATACTGTGTGATTCCATTTATATAACATTCTGAAGGTGACAAAATTACAGAATAGAGAAGCTATTAGTGGTTGCTAGGGATCAGAGATGGGGTAGGAGGGCAGAAGTGTGTGGCTACAAAAGGGCAAGGAGAGCTGTTGTGGACTACACCTTTGCCCCCCACCCCATTCATATGTTGAAGCCTTAACCCCTAATGTGACTGTATTTAGTTAGGGCCTATGGGGAGATAATAAAGATTTGAAAAGAGTGTAAAGGTACGGTGCTAACCCAATAAGGCTGTAATGCTTAGAAGAGGAGGAAAAGACACCAGCACTCACATGCTTGCTACTGCATGAGCAGGCAGCCATCAGCACAGCAGTTTGAAAGCTCTCATCAGGAACTGAATAGGTCAGCAGCTTGATCTTGAGCTTCCGGCCTCCAGAACTGTAAGAAATCCATGTCTGTTAAAACACCTAGTCTGTGGTATTTTGGTATGGCATCTTGAGCTGACCAATATACAAGTGTAGTGAGAAATAAACCATGAGGAATGTTCCATGATGTTTTATTTACAATAAACATTGGAAACAATTCAAATGTCATCAGCAGATGAATGGATAAGCAGATACTGGCATATCCCTACAACGGAATACTATGCAGTACTGCAACAGAATTAACAGTGAGTACATACTACAACAGAGTTTTGAAATATGCTTTCTATATCCTTTTAAATTTTGTAAAATCTGTGGTAATGTCTCTTAGGTCTTGATATTTTAATTTTAAAAATGTATGATTGATATTGTGTAATAGGAAGTAAAGGTCTAAAGGAGCAGGGGAAGTGGGAGGGGTCGGGAAAAGGAAAGAAGGGAAAAGAAAAAAAATGAGAAAAGGAAAAAATAGAAACAAAATCTTTGCAAATAGGGAAGGGTGGAGGGGGTGAAGGGAGGGGAGGGGAAGGGGAAAAAATAAGAACCAAGATACTCAGGTAATGGTACAAGATCCCAATGATGTATGTAAATGTATTTTATACCTAAAATGTACCGATAAAGTTAATGGGCGAAAAAAATACATGCGACAATAAATCACAAAGTTATGCTGAGTGAAAGATAAGACAAAAGAAGGAAACGCACTGTCTAATTTCACTTATATAAAATTCTAGTAAGCTAATCTAGAGTAACAAAGAGCAAACTGTGTTTGCCTGGAGAGATAATGAGGAGGTGAGGGGTGTGAGAAATGATTACAAAGGGACACTGGGAAATTTTGGTGGAGGATGATGCATATGCTTGTTGTCTTGATTGATTGTGGTTTCACGGGCATACCCATATGTCAAAATTCATTACATTATACATTTAAATAGGTGCTTTTTTTTTTACCAATCAGACTTCAATATTTTTTAAGTAATACAGGAGGAGGGTAGGAAACCGGCACCTTTATTCCCATCAGTGTTTCATTCCCTTCTGTCCATCGCCCTGCTCACCACTGAGCTTACTGAAGAGTGTGACCATGTTTTCTGTCCCCACAAGCCACTCACCTAAAATTGGAGAGCAGTCTCATGGAAGATGAACCTGGCTATGTGACAGAAAAAGATTGGCAAAGGATTCTTTATCAAAGTGAAGGCAATTCTTAGACAAAGTCACCTTTCAAACATGACCAGGTGCCCAACGAAATAGGAAGGCATTATGAAATCTGAATGCAGAGAGCAAGTTCCTGCAATCAGACAGACCTGACTATAAATTCTGACTCCAAGGCTTAGCAGGATTTTGACTCTTGTCCTCTCTAAACCTGTTCCCTTACCTAAAAATGGGATCATTATAGTTCACAAAGAATGCTAGGGAGACTCAATGAAGTTCTATTTGCAAAGAGATCTACACCAGCCTGGCTCAGAAGGTAGCCTCTCCAGAAGGGAAGGGCACGTAGTTCAAACCCAAAAATGTGGGTCCTAGTCCTAACTTTGCCACTACCCTGTTATGGCCTTGCTTCCAGCCTGTGTAGTCCCTTCAGTACTGAGGGTGGAAAGAGGGGGACATGTAGATAATATATCAAGTCTCCATTCCACTAAGCCCTGACTGAAGATTTAGCTACATCATGGGTCTTCAAACAATGAGCCATGGGCCAGTCTACCCTACGACCTGTTTTTGCAGAGCTCAGGAGTTAAAAATGGTTTTTACACCCTCAAATATCTGAAAATATTTAATAATATTTTGTAACATGGGGAAATTCGATTTTCATTGCCCATCAGTTAGGTTTGGCTAAAATATAGCCATGCATTACTGGGACAATTAGTTGTAATATGTCAACTTGACTGAATAAAGAAACATCTCGGAGATTAGTAAAGCACACTTCTGGGTGTTTCTGTGGGGTGTTTCCAGAGATGATTGGCATGTGGGCCAGCAAACTGAAGAGGGAGAACCCACTCTGACCATGGGTGGTACCATCCAATGGACTTGCAGCCTGGTTTGAATAAAAGAGGAAAGGAAGCATGCTGGGGTTTGTGGAAGCTTCGTCTGCTTGAATGGATGTGTCTTTTGCAGTTGCCGTCACCCATGGAGACCAGAGTCCAGTTTCTTTAGACTTCCAGTGCAGACTCATACGAGCAACTCTCTAGTGAACCTCTAACCCTGAGATCTCAGACTGGCACTGCATCCTTGATCCCTCTTGTTCTGCAGCTTCCAGCTTTTTGGATTGAGCAGCTACTGGGTCCTCTGGCTCTCTAGCACTGCAACAGCTGTTGTGGATGCTCCACCTCTCATCCTGTAAGTCTACCTAATTCCTTTGCATAATTAAATGCACTGTGATTGACAAGTATAGTGAATGTTTAAATTTTTTTAATAATTTTATTGTAAAAAACAAATTGCCATTCATCTCCCTCAAAATACTGCCTCTTACTTTGAATACACTTATTGCATCATCCTTGTCATTTTCTGAAGCAGTTCTGGAAGTCCTCTCTCATGAGTGTCTTCAGTTGCACTGTCATGGCTGCTTTGATATTCTGAACCAATTCAAAACATTTTCCTTTCATGGTCATGTTAACTTTAGGGAAGACCCAGAAGTCACATGGTCCCAGAGCCAATAAATAAGGCAGATGAGGAGACAAGCTAATGTTTTCACAAACCTTCCTTTTCATTGGAGGACAAGCAGCCAGAAGCATTCTTTGTATTTTTTTTATTACACCTCATAAAGAAAGTACCAAGAATAGTAGGATTAGTGTGTTCAAAGATAAGGGGAATATTTTTTTCATTAAGTTTAGTGGTACAGTTTAGGTATACAATACAGTTACATTCATCATTGGGATCTTGTACCTTTGCATGATGTATCTTGGTTCTTATTTTTTCCCCATTCCTCTGCCCTCCCTTCAACCCCTCCACCCCTCCCTATTTACAAAGACTTTGTTTCCATTTTTTCCTTTTCTTCTATTTTTTCCTTTCCCTTCTTTCCTTGTCTAAGGGGAGTATTTTGAGGGGGATTAATGGCAATGTGTATTTTACTGTAATAATTTTTTAAATTTAAACATTCATCATATATTTTGATCGTGTGTGTGTAGAATATATATTCTATTGATTATGTTCCTCTAGCGAACCCTAATCAATGAGACTACATAGAGTAGTTGCAACCAATACCATATGGCCTGCAAAGCACCATTTACTGTCTGGCGCTTTAACAGAAAAATTTGCAACTCCTGAGTTAGATCATCAGAAACAACGTACTTGTTTGCTATTACCTCAGATCCCCAGAGAATTATTCAGTGTTTAAGATTTAATGCTCTGCCCTTAGCTTTTATAGGAGTTCATGAGAAACATCCACTTGAGTGGAATTCTGTGTCTTTTGCAATAAATATTTCCTTGAATTTTATGCCAGGGAAGGAGTTTGTCCTCAATTGACCTTATATGCATCATTTTATTACCTCACTGTAACTGGCACATCATAGGTGGCAGACAGAATAATTTTATATGATATTAAAAGACAAGGATTCTTTATTTTAATGATTACTCACTTACTTATGTGATTACTCTCTGCTGGTGGTTAGTTATGGTGGTTTCCATTTACAAAAATATGAAGTTTCCTATTGATTTAAGAAAATGTCAAGTAAGGAACAATTTTTGGTAGAGCCACAGGAAAGGCAAAAATGTGATAGTTGTTCAAGAATGACAGGAGTTTGAGAAGTACCATATTGGACAATAGAAACACGTTTTTCTTTTTACCATGGTTACTGAAAAGTTCAGGATTAAAGGCAGCACTATTCTGTAGATTATCCAGGGTTCTGTAATTTATCTCATTCTGCTTCTTTGTATCTGCCTTTCAGAGCACAGATCCCATCACGTAGCCTCTGTTGGCTTACTTGGCTACTTTCCAAGACGAATGGGAGCTTTGTACCCTGTCATAATCACTTTCCTTATTGTTAAGACAAAATACTGAACACCCAAACCCTAAAAGAGGAGAGATTGATTTTGGCTCATGCCTCAGGAGTTTCAGTTGGCAACATGGTGGAAGGGCCTGTGTGGAAGCAAGTTGATCATCTCATGGCTCCCCACAAGCAGAGAGTGAAAGATGGGGCCGGGAGGGAGATACACCCTTCCAGGTCATGCCCCAGGGACCTGCCTCTTCTGACCAGGTCTGGCCTCCCACCACAAAGCAAGCTGTGGTGCCCCCAGATCCAATCACTTTCCACAAACCCTACCTTTGAGCACAAGAAGCTTTAGGGGGGACATGCAGATATAAATCATAACATTCTGCCCCGGCCGCCAAAAGGCCCATGAGCCTCTCTTTCTGCACAATGCATTTAGTCCATCTCTAAGAGGTGCCAAAGTCTCAACAGTTCCAGCACTGCTGAAGAGTCCACGGCCAAAGTCTCCTCCGAGCCCCAAAGCTAACTCCTAGCTGTGAGCGACTATAAAAATCAAAAAGAGGGGCCAGGGATTTAACTCAGGGGCACCACACCCGCCTCGAAAGTGCAAGGTCCTGAGTTCAATCCCCGGTACGGAAAAGAAAAATCAAAAAGAAAGTTAAATATTGCCAACACACAGTGGCAGAAGATAAACATTCCCATTCCAAAAGAAATAGGGGGCTATAAACATGTACCAATAAAAATTTTAAAAAGAAATAGGGGAGATAAAAAGGAATTGAACCAAATAAAGACTAAAATCCAGCAGGACATGTGCTAAATCCGTGTACAGCATCCACAGCAAGTTGTAGTGCGATATGAACTCCAAAGGGCTTGGGTGGCCCTGCCCCTGTGACATTCCCATTGGTTCTAGCCTTCATTCCTTCTGTCTGGGCTGGTTTTTCTCACTCCTTATAGCATTCCTCAGATGTTCCATGCTTCTCCCTCCTCTAACTTTCTAGGGTCTCCACTGCATTTTCAGCTGCACTCTCACAGCTTCCCACGCTGCCCTATCAGGGGCACACTGTCTGGCCTCCTGGCCCTTCCTCTGAAATCTGGGTGGAAGCCTCCTTACCCTGAAATTCTTGCATTCTGCATGCCTATAAAACCAGCACCACAAGGATGACCCTAAAATCTACCACTGGGTCCAGCAGTAGCTAGACCCTTTTGTGTCACGGCTGTCGAGGCCTCTGAGTGCCTGGAAGGCTGAGCACTATGAACCAAATCCTAGCAAACCAGTTCTCTGGGAAACCTCTCTCAAGCGTGTTGCCCTAGGGCTCTCTTCTCAAAGCAAAGTCTTTCACTTTAGCGATTATAAGCATGTGAGGCCTTTCTGGTTCCTGACAGGCCCTTAAGGTATCTTTCAACTGTCCTGTTGAGAAGTATTTAGGTTCTATTTATTTATTTATTTATTTATTTGGTACCAGGGATCAAACTCGAGTCCTTGTGCTTTCGAGGCAAACGGCAGAACCACTGAGCTAAATCCCTGGCCCTAGATTCTTTTTAATGCTAACCTTTTTAGCAACTAAGCCCTCCTCTGTTTCAACTTTGCCACCCCTTTCTTCTGGGAAAACTGAAAAATTCAATTTGGCTTTTTGCTCTTGATTTTGCACCTGGTTAAAAGCAGCAGGAAGTATTCATGCTATAGCATGAAGGTTAGGCTGCCTTGAAATTTCCTCCTCCAGATTAGTCTGTTCTCCTTAATTTCAGTCTTCCACAAAAACTTGGGACATGAGAAAAAAGTAGACAAATTTTCTGCCACAGCATTAAACACATGGCCTCTAGTCCAATTCCCAGTGAAGTCCTTGTTCCCAACTGAAGCCCACTGAGCCTGGTCTTTACTGTCTGCATTTCTGTCAGCATTTTGGTCTTCTGAGTTCTGACCAGAATCTCCTATCCAAGCTTAGTTTATAGCACTTTAGGGCTTCTCTAGTCAGCATCTCCAAGCCTTTCCAAACTCCTCACAAAAGCCAATTCCAAAGGCTTTTAAACCACATGGTCAGGTAAGTCACAGCAATGACCCAATTTCTCCAATACCAAAATCTGTCTTACTTTCCTCATTACTGGGACAAAATACCTGATACCTGAAACTTAAAGAGACTTATTTTGGCTCATGTTTTAGAAATTTCAGTCCGTATATGGTCTGCAGCATTGTGGAAGGGCTTGGGTGGAGGAAAGTTGGTCACCTCATGGCCACCAGGAAGCAGAGAGCAAAGGGCAGAGCCATGGTGGGAGATATACATCCAGATACAAACCATACCATACCCTAATATCTCCATTTAAATGCCCCCGATCCATAGTTTTCCTGCCCATGGTTTCAGTTACCCTGTCATCCAGTGCAAAACTATTAAACAGAAAGTTTCAGAAATAACCAATTCACAAGTTTTAATTGCATGTCATTCTGAACTCTGCCCCACACTGTTCTTCCCACAACAAGAATCGTGACTTTGGTGTATCCATGTGGTATACTCTCCTCCTCCATTGGTTGCTTGGTAGCTGTCTCATTTATCAGATCAACTGTTGAATGCAGTACCTCCATGCTTTTATCCCAGTAACTCTCATTTTACTTAATAATGACCTCAAAGCACAAGAGCGGTGATGTCGTGGAGACAGCAGGGCATAGAACATGGGAGGACAGATGAAGTCTACATAGGCAAGGCCTATAGGAAAAATGTGGCATATAAAGGATTAAGTACTGTCCGAGGTTTCAAGCATCCACTGGGAGTCTTAAGACATTTCCTCCCAAGGACTGGGGAGGGGGATACTATACTCAGCTCTAGCACACATTAGATACACAGAAAAGGATATGAAATTGAATAAAGAAACTAAGGGATGCTGAATACTGGTGTTTATTTCCTTTCTTTTTTAACAACTAGCTGGGAGGGATCCCAGAGAACCAGGGAGAGACCAGATGGGGCCCAGCAGACAGTAGACCATGGGGAGAGAATATTTGTGAAGCTCCAGCTGCCTGACCTACTCGGAACTCTCAGAAGCAGGTCATCCATCCATGATGGGACAAGTATACTGCAGTGTGCCTGCCTGCTGTATTTCAGTTAATCTACACATCAATCCTGTCCAAGCAGATACTGTTATTTCCATTGAGTGACGAGACTCAAGCTTACAGATGTTCAAATTTCATGGAACAACATGATTTCCGAAACATCAGAAAGGACATCCATATACAGTTGTCAACATTCATTTTCCTAAGTACGGTGAGTAGGAAATTCTCCCTTCTACATCATCATAATTTCATAACAGAAAGGACATTGTAACAATTAAAATGGCGGAGGATATGTCATCAAAATAAAGAACAGTTCTTCAATTAAAATTAAAAGTTAGCTTATAAGAAATCATCACATTGTCCTTAATCTTTTTATTTCCCCACCAATGAAAGAAAACTTGGACATTAAAGGAGCCAGAATGAGTTTAGGAGCCCCAGGAGATGGACCACAGAAGATGAACTCAGAGTGCTGAGCCAACCCTGCAGGGAGAGCTACATACATACCTGAGACACAACAGGCACAGACCCCAAGATCTCAAACAATATACTGAAGATATAAGAGACTTTTATGTACATAAAGTATTGCCCAAACATCCTTGAGAGTAGGACTTCAAAGCTAGAATGTACCACCAAGACCAGCTAATCCAACTGCCCCATCTTGCTGAGAAAGATGTTTGGTCTGGGTTTCTATAGTCTGACAAAACCACAAGGCTGGGAGGATTTCACTTCTAGGTTTCTTTTCTGGCTTGCACATTTCCCACCACATCCTGGCACCTGCCAGAGGACAAGAGCCCATGCAAAAATGATGCCAACGCTGTCTTTGAGAGCATCTGGCCCTAAGGATGGGGCATGGTTGGTTCTGGAAGGATACATTTTCTGGGAAAGGACAGTTGCTCCTTTCCATAAATGTGCATAAATAACCCTAAATCCTAAGAGTGCCAAGGATTTCTGTGGAGAGAAGAGTAAGGCCACCAATGTCCCAGGTCCCTGAGGGAGCTGTCCTAGCACTGGACAAAGCACGTGTGATTGAGGCTCTGGCTAGGAAAAGACTTGGTGTCCAGAGCTTTGCCCTGGAGAAGAGCTTGTTTGCTTTGCCAGGCCAGAACTTGGGGGACCCTCTGGGTTACCTCATTCCATTTCCTCTTGAATCCACTGGCATCTGGCTCCCACTTCTTTCCTGGAAATATTCCCACAAAGGCCATTCATTACCTTCAGATGGCCAAACAGGATGCTCTCCTTCCAGGCCACAGTTCACCAGCCCCCTGCTTGGCAATGGACCACACTTCCCTATATTTTATTATAGTGCTAACATATATGTTACTAACGTAACATAGGTTAATTTAGGAGGCTAGAGACACTCCACCAACAACTTCTCAAACAAGACAGATCACTTCTGTTTCACTCCTCCCTCTACCCTTCCTGTCCACACCCTTGGCCTTTCTTCCACTGTGCTTTCTTTTGCTGACCCATCTGAATATATCCTCGAATATTCTCTGCCTCTCTAGGGGCTCCATGACCCCAACTCAGAAAGAACCATCACTTCCCTGGACATGGTGTCAGCATCCTGCACTTGACTTCTATCCACCCTAGTCCTCCATGCAGCTGCTGGTTAACTTTCTAAAACAGGAGTGGGGAGGCTAGGTCTCTTTCTTTTCTTTTCTTTTCTTGTCATTTCTTTTCTTTTCTTTTCTTTTCATACCGGGAATCAACCTTGGGACATTGTGCTTGTGAGGCAGGCAGCGGCACCATTGAGCTAAATCCCCAGCCCTGTTTTTATATTTCTAACTAGTTAACATGTTAAATAGTTATATAGGTACCTATAGGTATCCTCGATTTCCCTCATAGGTCAAAATCCTTCAATATTTACATCTGACCCTTTCTAGAAATGTCTTGATGATCCCTGCCATCAGTTTGGAGTTGCTTTCTGTCCTACTTCGTGCCAATATCAAACTTCAGTGCCAGTCAGAGATGGCTGAGGCACTGGCTGAAATGCCACTTTCAGATTCTGATTCAGAGGGTCAGAAGGTGAAGCCTGGAAGGTCATTCAAATGTGAGTAGTTCTCAGTCCACACACTGATTGCTGAGCCAGCCCAAAGGCAACACCACAGGTATGGACATAATTTCACTCCTTTGCCTTCCCAGTTCTGTCTGCCTGGAAAGCCTTGGAAAATTTGTCCTGTGCAAAGGCCACATCTTATCCCAGATCCCCTCCCCAACAGCAGACAAACACTGTCACCTCCTCCTCTGTCCTGCCCCATAAAGCACCTGTCCCTCTCCAACTCGAATGCCCTGCTTATGTGTCTGTCTCAGTAGCCAGACTGTGAGCTCTTCCAAGATGACATCACTACACTGTGCCCCCAGTCCTTGCATAGGAGGCACAGGATCAATACCCAGTGAATCAATGAATGAACACATGGCTTTAGTCCAAACCGCTGCATGAATGAAGCAGGACAAATTCAGGGTTGCATTTTGACACCAGTCCCCTGTCTAGGGACCTCTATGCCAGAGTGGTACAGGCAGGGGCTATCCTGGGTATGAATCCAGCTCTGTGCTTGGCTGTCTCTGTGACCTTGGCCAATGTGCACAGGCTCACCAGCCTCCTGACATCATCTCTAAAAGGAGAAAGATGATCCCAGTAGCACTTACCTCATAGAACTGCTCTGAAGTTTCAATGAAATAACCTGAGACACTCTTCAGCATGGAGGAAGCATTTGATCCATGTTAATTCTGGTTGCTGCTCCATCCTCTTCCTCTGTCCAAGCCAAGCATTTGCCCAAGAGGCACCTGACAGGAAGCCTCTCCCTTCAGGAGTAAGGGAATGACAGGGACAATACAGACTTGAATCTCAAGGTCAGCCAATCTCATCCCTCTTGTCACTGAGATCCTACAGAAATCGCCCACAGGGAAGTCTTGTCAAGTGACCCAGTGCCCTTGGAATGCACTGGCTCTGAAGTTTGGTTCCTAAGGGTCATGAACCCCAGCTCATTGTCCAACTCAAGAAATGACTCACAAACATCCTTTTGCCTGGTCACCAGCCAGAAAGGTTGAGGACACTGTTGCTTCAGGAGACAGATGACACTCAGTAGTGGAGGAAGTCCCAGGGGCTGGATTACAGGTCCTCCTGCAGCAGCTGGGGGACACCAGTCTCAGCCCATAGGACTACAGATGCACAGAGCCTAGAGTAATGGGTAGCCTATATGCTCCGTTCAATCCATTCCTCAGCTGTGCAAACCAGAAACCTAAGAGTTGACCTTGACCTGTGTCTCACTTAATTCCCCAGCCCCGTCCTCCATCAGAGCATCGTCATATCTCCTGAGGAGCTCAGCCATCCACAAACCCCACTCCCAATCTCATTCTGTCCAATTTATTTTTTCTTTTTCCATTGCATGTAATACTTTGCAATATACTAGTTTACTTACTAACTAGTTTTTTTGGTTATACTTACTACCTATCTCCCATCTCTCTAAAATGTGAGCTCCACAAGGGTGTTTATCTTGTTCACTGAAAGGTACCTGGCATCTAGTAGGTACCCAATAGACATTTGTGGACAGATTCTCTATGACAGCCATGCCCTGTCTGAATGACTACACAGCCTCCTGTCCGGCCACCATCACCTATTCTGGTCCATTCCCTTCTATTCTGCAGGGTGGTGATTCCTCAAAACGTAAGTGTGATTATGTGCCTGCTTGGTGCTGCTCGCTCCTGCAGTCCCAGACTTCAGATACACTGATGGCTTCCAGCAGCTCTCAGGATAAAGTCCAGTCCCCCTGACATGGCCCACAAGGGCCCACATGGCCTGCTTCTACCTTCCTTTGCCCTGTGGCAGCCCCATTGGCCTCTGTCAGAAATACAGCTCTGCCATAGTTCCCCCCACCACAGGGCCTGAGCCTGTGGTGTCCTGTGCCAGAAGTGCCCTTCTCTCCCTCTGCATCTACTCATCCTTAGGCCCCAGGAAGTCTTCTCTGACACGATCCTCCCTAGGATCACACATGCCCTTGGAGACTCCTCTGCTGTGGTTTTGAATATGTCCCACAAAGTTCATGCATTTAAACTTAATCCTCAGTGTTAAAGATGGGACCTTTAAAAGGGGCCTAGACTACATCATAACGGCTCTGCTTCATGCGTGGATTAATGCTATTACCACAAGTACATACTTGTGGAAGCAGGTCCCTGATAAAAGGTCAAGCTCGGCCCTCTTCGCTCTCTCTTGCATGCATGCTTTTGCCATTCGTTCTTACACCTGGGACATCCACTATGAGGTCCTTTCTAGGTGTGGGTCCTTTGGTCACCCCACCTAGGCCTTTGCAGCCTCCAGAAATGTAAGACATAAATCTCTATTCTTTATGTTACCCAGTCTCAGGTATTCTGTTAGAGTAGGTCAGGACTAAGAGATCCTCTACAAAGTTGCCGTGGTTCAATTTTTATACAACCATGGGTTTGTGGGTTGTTTGGTAACATCTTTTTTCCTGACTATACCATAAACTCTTTCAGGGCAGGCGTATTTTCATTGCTTACTATTTTTATTGCTCTCTATTTTTACTGCCACAATTCTTAGCAGCACGATAGGCATATAAGAAGCACTCAGCAAATGTCTGTTGTTGGTTAAATGAATTACGTGAGGAAACCCAGGCCCAAGGACAGAAGTGATGCATTCACAGTGAGTGGCTTGGAGGTGGCCATACTGGACTTGGAATACAGAGTTCAAAACTCTGCCCAGAATTCATGCCACACTTTGGCAGGGCAGAGACAAGGGTCTCCCAGCCAGTGGAGAACCCTGGCTGGCCAGCACAACTGGACAGGAGTGGCACTTGGGCCTGCCTTAGGTTCCAAGCAGTAGGGACAGAAGGTTAATTTTGGGGAGACTATTCCACACTAAATGCCCATCTTGGAGACTAATCCACATCTGCATATGGAAGGCTCTGGAAAGTCTCAAAGTCAAAGAGAAATTTTAATAGCAACAACCAGAGGATTTTCTTTGCCAGAGAGGAATATTTCTGCAACTGACCAGTTAACAGGTCCTAGAAGCTAGTCTCCCCGAAGGTTGCCTCCAGGCACAACCAAGTGGACACTCCTTTCTGAGAACATTTATCAAAAATCTCAGTACTGGGTAATAAGGAAAGAGCAGAGGGGAAGCCAAGCAAGGACCTTACCCTCAGGGAGCTCACATTCTAAGGTAAGGGCCCAGAATAAAACACTGAAATACCCAAATGCCCACTGACTAAAGCCACAGCAAGTGGAATAAGAAGGACATGCAGCCTGACTGCTTGAGATAAACTCTGAGA